ACCAGTATAGTGGGGGATGAAGCGCAGAATGTATGGCTTGTGTTTCGATCTGAATCATAAATATATTGGCAAGAACGGGGGAAACAGAATTGCCCATACTTAAACCATCTATTTGAAGGAAATGTTCGTTGTTGAAAATGAAGTTGGTTTTAGTCGTTGTAAATTCTAAGAGAGAAGCTGTTATGTTAAACTTATATATTAAAGTTTTTCTTCATTACCCATTCAAGCCGTCTCCAACCATTATTAGTCGCAAAGTGGGTTCCTCGTCATCGAATTTGGTTTCATTGGAATGTTCGAATTTAATCTTTTATCTGTTTCTCATAGACGTTTTCAAGCGAATATCTTGTAATTTTGAACTGATAGACTAGAGAAAAACAGCACTCGCCGCCAACTCTAATCGAATAGTGTGATTTCACAATCACTTTTAAAATCACCAACGGCTCCAAAGTTCGAAGGGCATTGTTATGGAAACAGGTCGCGAACCGTAAACTCTCGGATCCCTAACTACTAGTCCACACATATATTTGTATTCCATCGAGGCCATAAGAAACAGATTGTTACCTTATTTTTATTCATTCATCTTTTTATTCACTATTTAATAGAATTGTGCGTTTTTTTCTGTTCTTTTGGTAATAGGAACAAACCTTAGATCTTCGACTTCAAAGCCCTGTATGCTAACCACTCGTACACACCCAGCTACTTGTCGTTAGTAAGTAGCTTCTTTTTTTTGCCCCCCCCCAGTGGCACAGCGGTATATCTGCGGACTTACAACGCTAGAAACCGGGTTTCGATACCCGTGGTGGGCAGAGCAAAGACAGCCCTTGTGTAGCTTTGTGCATAATTAAAAACAAACAAACAAACAAGTAGCTTTTTATGTGTAATAGACGTAAATTATGTATGACATGGGATAAAGAAAAGGAAAGAAGGAAACACGAACATCTCCGGAAGTGTTGTTGTCATTATTAAGTACAAAGGGCTATCTGTGCTCAGCCCACCACGTGTATCGAAACCTGGTTTCTAGCAGTATAAGTCCGCAAACATATCGCTCTGCCACTGGGAGGCTCTCCGGAAGTGTAAATCAAAACACTGATTCAACGGATGGTGATTTAAACAGGTTTTGTCTCAGATTACTCTGTTCCAGAACCAGGGATAACTACGATAAGTAATCCTTCAACTTAAGACTGTAGTTTCAGGCGTCAAAAACGATCACGATTGAAATGTTTTTCAAGATCTTGTCAAGTCTTACAAGAGTACTAAGTGAGTTTAAAGCCTCAAATTAACAAGAATCGTATAAAATAGGATTGTCTATCGAAGGGTTTTATTTGTTTCTATGTAGTTAAACACAAAGCTGTACAATGGGACGTCTGTGTTGTGCCCACCACGGGTATCGAAATCCGGATTCTAGCGTTTATAAGTCCGCAGACTTACCGATGTGCAACTGGGGGGAAGACAAGATGGTGAAAAAATGTTAAATCCACCCAGGTATAAAATATTATGAAAATAACGCTGCCTAAGTTTTAAACCTTAAAATATTTTAGAATAATTCTGTTTTATTTTTTAATTGTACAGTTAAGCGAATTTTAAGAGAAAAAAAAAAAACTCCGTTCTGTCTAAAATATTTATTGTCTAGAAAATTAATTTTCAAACCTAAGCCTATAACTCGTAAACAGTAAAGTATGATTAACAGTCTTTACCTGAAAATAACGAACCATTTTACAAACGACATTCCCGCCGTAAAAATCTACAAACGTTCGCCAAATAATATCTGTCAGTACTTGGACGAAACCAACAAGAAGATCTGAAAAAGTTATAAGATAAGTTAGTCTTTATATCTGACATAATTCGGCTTTTTATATTCTCAGATAATAATCCTAAAATCATGAGGTTTTTATCTATCATGAAAGCATTTTAAGCCTAACATAAAAACACAACAACAAAATAAACAGTACCGTGGTTAATGCAGTCTCTTCCGTGATTTGTCAATTCCCACTTTACGTAACAAAATATTGTATTTCATCGAAGAGACTGCAGGATTAATTATAGGTAGATACAAAAAAATATATCGTTGTTAATAAATTGTAATAAAATATTTGCAAGAAAAGTTCTTCGGGTATTAAACAAACATTTTTTGTTTTTGCTTACAATTTATCTTAAGAGATATATCTGAAATAATACCTGTTATTGACAATGAACGTTAATACAACTATCAGTTGAAGGAATAGTAGCGGTCTTGCTGTCGCATGCTGAGATAGCATAAACTTTCAGAGGTGTTACGCGCGTGTCGTGATACAATAATTTTCTATACTCATATCTCTTCAAGGATATCATTTACTTGACAATTAAAACACACATACACATATTTAGTAACAGAGTTCAACATAACTCTCTGAAGTCAAGAGACAAAAGACGTAAATAAAGAGGTAATTATGATTTATTAATTAATTTTTCAGCTTCAATGTTCTTCAGAAATTTGTCAAACCCATAATGAGAAATATCCAATAAATTCAGTCAGCATGGCAAAACCTGAAAATATAAAGGAAGTATTCCAGTGTGTTCCAGAAAAAAAATTAATTCATTTAGTTAATCAGCCTAGTTTATTACACCGGCTTTAACCACTTATTTGTATTTTCGTATTCATAAATTCACTGAACAAGTATGCCTTTTTAAATGTTCCCTGTACACTAAAAAGGGTCCCATTAATTGTTTTGCTACTTTATTTGTTATGATTTTGAGTATCTAACTAAACATATATGAGATACCTTTAATTAAATCAAATATTCTTCTAGGTAATAAGAATTCATTAATAATATTTGTGAAAACTGCTGGAGTAAGATGTACGATGAAGTTTACATGTTTTTGTGTTCACTATTTTATCAGGTAATCTTACTTACTGAAGTAAGGTGTTCACTATTTTATCAGGTAATCTTACTTACTGAAGTAAGGTGTACGATGAAGTTTACATGTTTTTGTGTTGACTAGTTTATCAGGTAATCTTACTTACTGAAGTAAGGTGTACGATGAAGTTTACATGTTTTTGTGTTGACTAGTTTATCAGGTAATCTTACTTACTGAAGTAAGGTGTACGATGAAGTTTAC